CACAAATAACGATGCAACTCACCCCTTTATTTATGTCGATCACCCCCGATTCCAAACTTTTGTCCAGTGAGTGTACAACATTAGCTCATAAAATACGTGATTTCAAAAATCCCGTGAAACACGTATTTAACGACGTGTACATGTACCACATGTATATCATATCCACGTTCACGTTTGGAATAGCGATAGTGATTTGTCGCAGCATTTTGACAAAGAGGACATTTCTCAGCAGCAGTTATTTTTTCGAAATACGAGTGAAAAAGAAAATAAGAAAACATCAAAAAAGAAGTATGTTTATATGATTATTATTTTATCCATATACATGTACATATGGATATATATGGGAAATCAGGTTTTAGCAGAAATTGACCCTTTGTCTCGAAATAACGCGCAGGTGGGCGTTATTTCGCGAAATACGGACAGATGGGCGTTTATTTCGCGAAAATACGGTACAATTGAAATTGAATGATATATGTTAATTAATGTATTGATTAAATGAAATCAATGTAATGCTCTTCCAGTATCATTAATAACGAGAGGCAGACATTTTTGAAACTTGTGTAATAGATAACGGTGAAATCGAGCTGGTTTGCAATTTGTTAAATTTACGTAAACATGCTCGAGCTTTCCTTTATCTGATGTGATATATGTGAATAATGGGATACTCCAACCTATAGAGATCAAAATTGGCAAATCTGTGTCTTTGTTGATCTGTTTTCTTTGATCTGTTTCTTTGTTTCTTTGTTGAATTACTTTTTCGGATGCTTGCAGAGGAACATTAATTTCTGGAATGCATCCAACAATAGTAAGATTTTGTAATACTTGAAGATGTAGTTAGTGTAAGTAAAGCAAATTTCTTTAATTACCAATGATGACGAAGACTAAATTTAGAATTGAGCAGACGTTCACATGAAAGATCGAAAGTTCATCAGACAAGAATTCTGGTATTATAATTGACTAATGACTATTAATAATGTAGATACTTTAGGTGTTTTTACATCCGACACCCTGAATATAATGTATACCGGTGATAATGGTTTTAGATTTATATTCTCTATGGTATCGATAAACTTAAAGTTGTCACTAACTTTGTTATTGTTATTGTCAATGGGGGTTTTATGGTTTCCATTGATGAGTCGACAATTTTAATTTTAATTTTTTTATGTCTATTTAATTGAAGGTTCAAGCAAATTTTAAAGAATAGAATAAGTAGAAAAGAAAAAATATATGAGAGATTTTTTTGTATTTTTTGAAATGGAAAGTGAAGTTCAATTCCTATTAACGTTAGAGTTAATAGAAAAGATGAAATCGCTTGTAGATCATTATATCATTTCATGTAATAAAAAAGGTTATCTATCTACATGATTTTCGAAAAAAATCTTGAACAGATAACGATAAGTAACAACTTTTCTTGCTTTTTTTTTAATTTATATTATGATATATTGGGATATTTCATTTTAATTTATCACAATAATTGCTCTTTACGAGAAATTTATGTCCCATAAAAAAGGTGGTACATGTGTAATGAAGCCAATCAAAAGGCGTCTTACCAAAAATGTTTTAGTATTGTCTTACTTATCCTTAGGATAATAATTACTCCTCTCTAATCTAGTCCCTCCATTTAGACTTTCTTAAATAAAAACAACACAGAGTTTCTGCACAGAACTGTCAATGTTATCAATTTCTATATCCCTTATGAACTGCATTCATTTTGTCATTCAGTTCCCTTTCCATAGAGCAAAAAAAAGCCGTTTACTTTTTTTGCAACGATACTAATCCAAGATGAAGATGGACTATACATCTTGAAACTAAAATAACTTGAATCAAACAAAATAGTACTATACAGAGTCTTTAATGAACCCTGCGAACCAACCAATGGCTATCTCTATGCGATCAAAGATAACTATCAATTCATTCACGAAACTAAATTTAGTCTGCTGACAAAGCGAAACAAAAGCAAAATAATTTCACAATCATGAATCATTGAAGATGATAAGGGCGTAATAGATGTTTACGGTTAAAAAAGAATTGCCAAGATCCGGTTTTGGGCGTGCGAGAGGGCATTTAATCTCGCGCGCCCTATTCAAAAATAGTTGTGCGCTTGCACAGTACATCATTAAAATATCAACAGCAAAAAAGCCGCATCTACCTTACTAAATGTGCTGAAGACAAGAAAGTAAACAGATCCCACATCAAAGAGAATACTTATCTCATTAAAAGAGGAATTTAAAAATACTTTGCGCATCACCCAGAGTTACGATATCATTCTCTCAGGCTTTTGCTGCATCTATCTTCTTTTGTAAGTGGAAAAAGTTAAACGAAAACTTACGCAACCACAAGAACTTTGAACCTGTGAACAATTATCATTTTTTACTTTTACAGAATTAAAGTTAGTTCTCTTGCTGCTGCGACGCGCATAATAATAAAGGCAAAAAGTATGTATTACATATCACAATAATAGCCAGATAAACAGGCTTTATTTAGAGTCACTAATTAATGTTCCTTCAGAGATTACAAGATCGCGAAAAAAATGATAACTATTGTTCGAATTTTACATTCGATTACTTATTTTATTTTACCTGTATGTGTCACTTATTTTATTATACACACATACGTGATCATGAATACCAAATAAAGATAAGTGTATACAAAAAATTCTGATATTCATCTTATAGAGAGCATGCACGTGACATGGAATTATATAAATAGTCACACGCCGATGCAACACAAACTGTAAGCTTTTGTATAAGATAAGTCATTGTCGACAAAAAAGAAGAACGTGCATCAAAATATTATCACTTGGTGCGATTGTTCACCCCCAAGTTAGAGTATCACAATAAAGATTTTATCACTTTGAAGTTTAAAAATAGTCTGCGCAATAATAGTTATCTTATCATTGCATTTCTCTCCTAGTATAATGCTAACAGTGTAAGTGTAAGAGACGGAAGATAATATCGATATCTTCTTTGGGAATCAACGAGAGACGACTCTAACTGCAAGGTAGCATAAATAATACTATTGATGTTCTGAAACTGTGATCCCAAATGTTGCAGTTATCCATCATTTTTTCGTCCTATAAGAGTACGTAACAACATTTTGTATTCAGAGAAGAAGGAATGCACGGAATATTAATCGAAGAATTTCGGAATATATATTATTATTCAATAAATTTCCTATTCAAACAAAAGACAAAGACAAAAGTTTATAAATAGTTACTAAATATTTTTTCGGAATTACATCAACATTAATATATTAATGTTGATGTAAATAATAATGTCATTTTATAAATTCCATTGGCGTCATCATTCATTGTTTCCGATGCCTCATGGTGATATCATTTTGGTTATCATATGTAACACGGATTCTTATGTTATCACTTTTAACAATAGATTACTTTCCCTACAGCGTCACAACAATAACAACAAGGTTTTTGTTTTTTTCAAATTATCACATAGATGGCGAGCGTTTTGATGGGAATTTTAACATGACGAGAACACAAAATGATAGTGAACGATTCACCAGATTACCCTGGTGTAAATATGCATTTCATTTACAATGCATTCTATTACTGTATTAAATATAACCTACTCTAAAACTATTTTCCATCATCATGACAAAAGTAGGAGTTGTGTTACTGTTACCCCGTTTACTGTACGACACCTATCTTCTTTCTCTGATGTGTGTGTGTGTGTGTGACAATTACTTCTAAATATGCAAACAATCTAAACGATCATTCTCCCATTGCTATAATACTTTTATGGGTTATTTGCTACCCATATGGCGGCAAAAGACATCAAAAACAGGAGGTGTGCTTCTAAATAATAAAATTGTATTATCCACATATGTTCATCATACTTGACTATTTATGCTCGTATAAAAGTTATATATACATATATTTTAGTTTAGTACTCAAGTCTTATTAGGTTTCAAAATTTAACAACGAAAATACGACAACAACAGTATCGGTATAGTTATTTTTAATTTCATTTAATTTTATATGTTTGTACGTAATATTTATTGCTCAATAAAATTGGGATGCCCAGAAAAAAAAACATCCGAATTTATTTCAATTTTCTTTTTTTTTCTTCATCACTCTCCTTCCATTATTCCCCCACCTTCTTTAATTTTTTTCCTTCGCACGTTCGTTCTTCAGTTCGCTCTCCTATCACTATTTCTCTCTTGTGATTTGTTAGTGTGATTGTTTTGTTGTTGTATTTGTTGTATTTAAACATAGAGATGAGTTATCGTCAATCTTTAATTATTATTCTCTTATTATAGCATAGCAAACTTTTATAAATATATATAACGTTTATCAATCTAAAAAAAAATAACCGTGATTTTTTATTTTCAAACATTTGTAAATTAATAAATGTTATCTAATAATATAATAATATAATAATATAAAATTGAAAAATATTTTAATTTCTGAAAGTTCGGCATTTTAGCAAAGACAGACACATAGTGACAAAGAAACGTCTGACTTCTTATTTTTTTCAATAGCAAATATAACAACAAAACAACGATAACAACTTTGAAAATCATTCTTTAAAATGTCTAATGATTATGACACAGGAATGCTACCACCGCCTAGTTTAGGAAAACCAGTTCATTCAGTATTAGCTAATGAAATATACGACGAGGTAGAATCAATGTTAGAAAATGAGCTTGAACGCGGGTCGTTCACTTCACGTTCCCATCAGCAAAAACAATCAGTTATCACTACCAAAACAATTTCACACAGAGACTCAACTTACGACCCATCAACAACAACAGATCATGCAGGACCGTCCAATCGATATCAAAGAAGTGGGAGCACCTCGATTTCCGAGAGTACTTTCACGAGTCCATCAGCAATCTGGCGGAAATCACCTACAGTCAGTGATGAAACTGACCAAGATCATGTAATAACAGAATACGATGCCGCAACCGCCGCACAACTACGCGAACACAATCTACTATTCGCCCGAAGTCCCACATTATCACGATGGCAATTGGAAAGCATCGGTGATTTACGTCGTAGCGAGACACAATTTAATAATTTGTTGCTTCGTGTGCAGGCTGACGAAGGCAACAACTACAAAAAACTAAAACAAGAGTTTCGTGAATTGCAAGAAAATTTGATCGATCAGCATGGTTATATGCTCCAGGAACTGAACATGTGTGCCACAAAGGAATTAACCGCCTTTTCTGGGACGTTTGGGTTGTGTGTGAAAACTGGTGTAGCTTTGGAAAAGTTACGGCGGAAAAAAAAGTTGAACATTCCATTCTTCGCGGATGTCGCGAAAAAGTTACGCCCAAAACCAACCTATTAATTTAATTTAATTTAATTTAATTTGTTTTATACATGTACAAATTCACGTTCGATTTACAGTTAACTTAATCCCTGGTTAACTTTAATCCATAACCGGTATTGGGGGAGAGTGGTCTATCACGATAGCCGGCTTATTTATAACCAGCTTATTGAGTGTGACTTTGTATTTATATTTATTTAAAATTTTGTTTATCTTTCTTCTGTTTTTTTATACATAATGTAGATTTTACTTTAAAAAAATCCCTTTAATCCTAATTTGTAATTATATAATCCTTTCTCTTTAATTGTTAATAAATATATGCTTTGTCGACATAAAAATTTTATTTCAAGGTATGAGAATTTTGTCATAAAACAGAGATTGCCATGACTTTATCATTTAAATTCGATAATAACTACTTAATCACTATGAAATTGAATCTACATTAGATGTTATCTATCGCTCTACTATTCGTTAACGTTAATAAAAAAAACTAAGTCAGCTCTACTGGCAGTGCAACAACAACTCAACAACATGGCAAAACGTATGATTGCATAACAATAAAACTTTTGCTTACATTAATAAAACAATCAAAAAAAAATTTATTAACTTATGGTATGGAAATTTCAAAATTACAAAATTAAAAAATAGCTGGTAAATTGAGATACATGTCTAATCACGATATTCCTTATAAGGAATAACGATAGTAGCTTCCAACTCAGCATCAATGGTAAGAGATCTTGCAGTCAACGTAAAGACTCGACCATAACGGCTTTTACCTCTGCTCTCTACAATAAATCTTGTACGATCCTTGGTATGGAGAAATTCGACATCGTACTCGAAAGAGTGGCGACGATTCATTTCAAAGTTGTCACGGTTGGTGTCGGTTTTGTGTGATTCATGAATTCGACCGTGGAAGGCCTTTTCGAAAATGTGCATGAGATTGTCGGCGTCTCCTTTTCCTTCTTTTTCATCGTCTTTTGAATCTACGTCGAATTTACCAATGTATGGAACGACGTATCCTATTAGATAGTTAATTGAATAGATGCGACTAGTAAATTTCATGTACGTAATTGATAAATCTTTAAGAAAACCAATAATCGCTTATGCTTACTGTATTCCCAGGCGTCCTCTTGCTCGTTGTATGGATCAACAACAACGCGATATGAATGTCCCCATTTTTTGTTAGCTAAGCGTTCGAAAGTGATCGAATATTTACGGCGAGATGGAATAACCGCAATTTCTAAAAAAAAAAATGGTAATACATATTTAAATTTAAAGCGCTACGAATTTATTAATACTAGTGAAAAAAACTAACCGAATGTTCTACTTTCACCAGGTTGAAGGTGCTTCGACTCAAATAAATCTTTCTTTGATTTATCTTCAGAAGCAACCTCCTTACCCAATTTAGCAAGCACTTCAGTAAATTTTGCGGCTAGGTTCGAAGAAAGTGATTCAATATGACGGAATGGAATATCCATTACTGTTGATCTTGTGGAAATTGTTACATGATTGGCGCTGGTTGTGGGTTCTTGGTCTAGTTCTGGAGCAGCTTTAGTGAGCGCGAGAAAGAGAAAGGACACAAAAGCGATAAGTAGATATAAGTATTTACGAGTCATTTTTGTAAGATAGGATTTGAATGAAGATTTTTATTTAGTTTGATTTCTTTAGTCTAGTTCTCTATTATATATTGAATTTAGTTACCGTTACTATTTATGTAGAGTATTGTATTTAAAACGATGATCAAAGTAAAAGTGCAAATGATTGATTCAATTGATGCATTTTTATCATCTTTATATCGCATAGATATATTTTTGTGATAAAAATAATTTATATTGATATAACATATTGAATTTTATTTTTTTCATCGTTTTTTTTAGAACCTATATTATCTTTTTTTGATTTTTATGAGAAAAACTTAAAACTAGAACTAAAATCTTAGATATTTGGTGTAATAAATTTCTATATGTGAAGCAAAGTGTTCATATTTGATTTGCAGAAAGCATAAAGCTTGGGAAATTAAATAGCTTACAAAGGATGACAGAATCATAAAAGTTTGGTGCATAAAACAAATGAATCAAAAAGTTGCTGATTGCTTAACTAAATAACAAGAATAAAAAACGCCTGCGTGCAAATATTCTATACCGCAAATATTTCGTAGAGCGTAGAGGATTAGAATCTATTCTTCAAATTCAATCTTTTCGTCTTCATGTTCCAATGGAGTTATATGAGGCCAATGCGAATGCCAGCACAGCTGACCATAATTCAACAATGAGCACAAATCCTCGACCGCTAATCTCACATCATCCAAATAATCACTAAATACTTTCCACTCTTTATCCGGGTGATCATCAATATCACCGGGAAAAGCGACTTCAAAACTATGATGCATCTTTAATTCTTGTTCTAAAAGTTGACAGGTGGTAAATCGCTCGTTATTGTCGATCTTATATGTTAGAATCCGTAATTGTTTCTTGAGATCGAGAATCGGGTTAACTCGTTCTCGTAGATTTTGGAAAAATTCAGGTGGTGTGTTCTCCTTGGTGAAGCCGTCACAAAGCTCTTTATATGTTTCTTCCTCGTAAGCTTTTTGTTCAACTTCTGAGTTGTAAACATCGTCGAAGATTTCGCTACAACTGTCAAAAAGAGTGTCACCTTCCATGTAATCATTGTCGGATTCTTCGTATTCGTGTTCGGATTCTATATAGATTTCGTAGTTTTGCTCGGGTCTCATTGTTGATTTATTTATTCTAGAGCTTTTGAAAGATGTGTCTTTTTAAAATATAAGTTTTTCTGCTTTTTGATTTTTAATTTCACATTTTTACCAGCTAGTTTTATTCTCGCTTTTATACTTTTTGTCTCTAGATCAAACTAAAGTAAAAGAAACTATTATTTGTATTGTTGTAAAGCTGGTTCCTAATTCATCAATTTTTCAGCTATTCGAAATCTTCAAACAATCAATTACTGCTTGTTTGCTAGATTAATACAATACGTAATTGTTAATTAATGAATTCTTTGATTAGCTTAGGACTATCACCTTTGTATGGTTGATACATTAAAGCATTTTTAAATTTTTGAGGTGATTAAAAGTTTGATTTCCATTGAAAAAATCGTAAAGTCGTATGTTCATGCAATTTATATTTATGAATAGTTAAAACCTCCAATTTCCAATATTTGCATTAATTATTTGCGACTGTTAACATCTAGTGGCAACGTTGAATTTTCAATGCATAATTCCTCTTTTAGATTCAATAAATCCTAATTCATATCTATTGCTATGCTTTGATAACTCGATTCACAATAACTGGTGCTTATTACGAGTCGAATTTGAATTCGTGATAAGCTCTACAACTGAGCTTTCGCGAAATATCATAGTTGTAGAAAGTTAGACTTTATCGTCAATGCTTTCTTCTATTTTGGTTGGTAAAAAGTATGTTACATTAAACTTTATAGCTTCATATGAACTCATAATTTAAACATTTTTGTTTGATATTCCGCTTCAGATTATATTTTTTTTGTGAAAAAGTATAGATTAAATTAAGAAATCCATTTAGCTAGCATATGCTAAATTATTTTGACTATACAAAGAACTCTCTAAAGTTGATAAATATTATATGCAGTTTACAAGTATATACTTGGAGATGGTGTGAATTTATAAAGAGCAAAATATATAGAGCTTTTATAAGATGATAGCAGATTATAACAAGTATTTAAAGAGAATTTATATAGTTTATACTTAGAAAGTATGCATTTAGATGAATATTATATAATTGTATTAAAAAAATATAGTAAAGTAATAAAATACAGATCTTTATACTAAATTTTTGACTACTGTAAAGTTCCAATAATAAGCAACCCTCTAAAATAAACAACCCTTCCCCTCCTCTTCAGATCCAAAAGTCTTAGAAAAGTTAAATAAGCAATTCTTATTTGTGATAGTAATATTTAATATATAGCAGTAAATATTTTCTGAGTATATTGATAATCAGTAACCAGATTTAAATGAAAAAACTGCCAAAATGATCATCTTAATAAGATGAATCTGATGAGCTATAAAATGTTTGATTTGAATTATTAGTCATTAATATATTTATATTTATTTAAAAAACTTAAAAATAAGTAATTTTTCTAAAAATTGATCTCAAAAATAATGATGTGAGAGATTACTTATTATTAGAACTTTATGATATATAAAAGTTAAAATAATATTAAAGTTTTGAGTTATTCTGAGATAAATGCTAATAAGAATTTTTTATATTATATTATAATTCAGTGCAAAAAGATTAATATATCAAAATAAAATTAATAATTACTTCTAATAAAAATCATTCAAATTTTAATTAATCTTTATAATTTTTTTATATTAAATAAAAAA